TTCAGGTTCCGCGTGGTATCCGATAGTCCTCTGATAATATTTGTGTCGTGTTGCTGCGTCGTTCTGTTCCTTTTCATGTCCCGTGTCGGTGGCAGCGTCGGCGTCAGCTGCAAAGGCCCGAACGGAGGCTCGTTCCAGCAGGGTGCGAGGGATTCCGATGATGTCGTCTGTATCAGACTTGCTCGCCAGTGACGAGCAGGTGCAAGGATGGTGGCGCCTAAGGCCAGTCGGAGACGGGGAGTCCTTCCATCGGGATTCGGAAGTAGCTGTACTCGTCGCTGATAACCTCAATTTGCTTGGGCCCCTGTTTTGGTGACGGTGGCTTCTCGGTAGGTTCCGGTAATTCCGCTGCTTCTCCAAAGAACTCGTAGGTTACTTCTTCATATGACTCTTCCGCTGTGGGCTCTGGTGTGTCAGGAGCGTACTGGTCAGGGAGAGGGAGTCCACCCCAGTTGGTGCCATGAGTTGCCCAGTACGGGTCGAATGCCGAGACATCCGCAGGAGGAAGTCCCGTAGCTTTGGGATACGTGGGGTTTGATTGGCCCCACCCTCCTCTGGTCGAAGTTCCCCAGCCACCACCAGTGGTAGCGCCCGCTTCTGATGTTGGAGCAGCGCCCCAACCACCCGCAGCTGCTTCTTCTGGTGTTAGGATTTCTCCCCATGGGCCGAGCGTGCGGCCGGGACTACCCCATCCCGTTCCAATTCCTCCAGTGTTTGGTTCTGCAGGTGCTGACATGCCGCTGTCCTCTTCCATTTTTGCAGGTCCCGTTTCAGCAGGATTGGAGGTCGAGGCAGTCGGGACGGTGCGAAGTCGCAGAAGGCCGTCGAAAGCCGCTCGAGGTCCATTTCCGTGGGATGTGACCAGGTTGGCGGCTCCGAGGGGGCTATTTTCAGTAACAGAGTGCGGTCGGAGTCTCCGGTAGTGCCCTCAGCCGAGATCTGCAGCACGAAGACTTCGTCGTCATCGACCGCCTTGCCGATGTAAGAGTTGTTGTAAAACAGCTCAAAGGCCTTGTCTTTGCAGTTGCTACGGATGTCGACTCTGCACCGCATGAGTTGCGCCGAGGAGAGCAGGTTGTACTGCAGATTTGGGGCGACCAGCACATCTCCGATATGAATGGTGAACTTCGTGTCATCAGCTTCAACGTAAGCTTCACCGATGTCGTATGCCTTGAGTTTGCTGTTGTTGGCGACGGTGATTTCGCACGGTCGTCGCATGTGTTTTGAGTTGTTGATGAATGTTGGTGATCCCACCATGTGTTGCCCGCAGCAGCTGTCGAGGTACCATGTGTTGATGCTCTCGCGACTCTGACGCGCGATGTTGGCGATTTTTTGTGTAACTACGCGGTCGAAGTCACCGGTGTACGGCGAGAGAGCGAAGTACCTATTCGCGGAAATACGAGGAGGAGATTACGGAGTTGGCGGAGGCAGCTCGAAATCAGGCGGGATATTTGTTGGACGGTCGATCCAGCTGAGGATGGTAGGATCGTTGTCTGGGCTGGGCGCGATGGGGTTGGTGGGCGCGATGGGCGGAAATTCGGTTCTGTCATAGTACCAAATGCCTCTGCGACGGCGCGCCATGCAGCTCATTATTGACCCCTTGCCTTTTTCCTTGTTTGTAATGTGCGCAGGAGTTTGCGAGGTACTCGCAACAGAGGGCCGCGACACGGTTGTTGGTGGAGCAGAGGATTCCGAAAGCACTGAAGGCTGTCGACTGGAGAAGTTGTTGCGCCTTTCGTCGACAGCCTTTCGCTTGTAGCACCGGTCGATAGTGTGGCCGTGCTTCTTACAGTATTTGCAAAAGGTCCCTTTCTTCCCATGCCGCTCCCCTTCAGTCGCGCTATTGAAGAACATTACTTCTCCCACTTGGTATTTTTCTCGTTGTACAGGTCGATCTCCTGTTCGAAGAGGAGTGTGGCGCACAGGGCGAACCCAGAAATAGTTTCTCTTACGCGAAGCAACGACTGGCATTGGCGCCAATCGGGTCCGAGACCAGAGAGAACCATAGAGATGAACATGTCATTGGGAACGGTTCCGCCACACTTCTTGATGTGATCGCGTAGATTGCGGAACCGGTCGATATATGGTCCCGCTTTCTCCCCTTGTTGCATTTTGACTGAAGTCAGTTGGCTGAGCAGGAGACTCATTATGACTGGATCTGTTGCCATGTACGAGATGTGCAGGTGCTCCCAAGATGCGTGGGGGGGGAGCCCACTCCGATTTATAGGAGCGAATGCCAAGCTGCTCGGAGGGGGAGAGATTTTGAAGGAGAGTAGTGTACACGAAAAGAGATTCGTGGTAGTATTGGTGCTTCTCCTGGATGGTCCCTTCTCATGGAAAGGGGAAGCTTCCGTCGTAGTACATCCAGATCTGAGTGGTTGTTGCGAGAAGCTCAGATTCGAAGCTCCACGTATAGAAATCCTTGCAGACGAAGGGAACCCAAGTCTTCAGCTTTGAAGTCAACACGAAATTTGTTTGCATGGTATCAATTGTTTCTGAATTCCCGCGTTGTGGGCTGTCTTGTGCAGGAGCTGAAGCTTGAAGGTTGTCAAATGTAAAAGACCTCTCGGAGTTGACGCGGCGCTCTTCTCCATGGAGAGGGAGTCCAGCAACTCCTCTGGCGTAGCTTGAGCCGTCAATGCTCATTGCTTGATGGCTTTCAAGAGCGTTAATGCGAGCAACTAGTTGTTCGACGATAGTGACGCTGATGGAGGTCACCGCTGATGGCGCATTAGTCGTTGCTGGTGGTGGGCCCGGAGAGTCTGCAGTGGCTTTTCATTCAGGAGCCATGAATAGGATAAGTCTGCCGAGTCTAGGAGAGGACAATGAAGTCCTTGTGGTGACATTGTTAATAAAGTTGAGAGAGAACAAGATGATTATAAGATAGAAGTACAAGTGATTAAATAGCAAACTAGTGAGTCATGTACTCTGAGGGGTACATTCCATAATTAACTGTATTGCAGAACTACAGGATCCACGACTATTGTCATTCTCGACAGTTACCATGTTGCAGTGATTTAACTGTCGTGCAGTTACTGGATGGTCAAGGGTCACGGCCGTTGACTGTCTTCGACTGTTGACCTTTGGGCGACTCTCGATCTTCCGCATGCTCTATGAGCTATTGCGGCACTGTTACAGTGCGCCGTTTTGTTAAGAAGTGATGCGTTGTTTGAGAAACCTCTGGGAATGCTTACAATAACCTTTCGGTTGTTCCAACATAACCAACTTGGACTTTCTTGGCCCTTCGGTGTTCAGAAGAACTTTCAGTGCGTTGGCAATTTTCAGCGACAGCGGGAAGATGCGTCGGAACGCGGCAGCAGCCTCGGCGGGGGATGCAGAGCACCTCACCAAATGAAGCATCATAAGCAGGAATCTTTTCGTGGTGTGGCGGAAACATGGAGCCTTTCAAGAAAGTACCGGTAGCGATTGAGGTTGAGAATATTCCCACTCTTAGCATTAGCGCCAGCCTCTAGTAAGATCAAGAAATACACTATAATGTATACATCCATTTTTGCTTGACTGCCCAACGCGATGCTCGACCGCGTTCAGCAACATAGAGGGGGCGTATTCACTTTGTTGACACGGCAAGAAATGAAATGGTTACACATTGCTAAACCAATTGGTAGCCTGCTCGAGTGATTTCTAGCTTTGCCCACCTATCCGACATGGAATGCTTGACTCTAGCTTTCGTGAAACGTTCCTGCCGAAGACCACCTCATCATCCTTTAGTGATTGATCGCGTTTCATAAAAAACGTCGTTTGACTCCCCCACCGCATTCCCCGCTCTCTTACTAGCGACCTCCTGCCCCGCCAGCCAGACTACCGCGTTCCACGATCCTCCTCGCCTCGCAGCGGCGTGGTGGCGTCGAGCGCGCACTTCAAGTAGCCAGCCCACAGCAGCCATGGAGCCTCGTGAAGTTCCGCTTCTGTGCCACAACCCCTTTTTGTGCCATCTCGCCGTCGCTCTCTCTGCGAGACTATCTCGCCGCGCCTCATTCTGCCCAACCATCGTCGGCGAATTTTCTCCCATATCGCGCCAACCACTGCCATCCACCATCGCTAGCGTCACCTGCGCTGCGCCTCTCCACCGCGCCTCTCCGCTGCGCCGATCGTGGAACAGCTCTAGGCTGTTAGTTTTTGAAGGCTAAAGCTTGGAGAGTCTAAAATGACAAGGTAAACTTAGTAGTATATATTCTGTAAATTTCAGAAAGCAAGAATGGCATACAAGGGACGAAGGACTACTCTTATACACACTTCTATGACTATGGCGCCTTGAGAAGGTCGTTCAGGTCGCCATTGATCCTATCTCTGCTGTCACCAGCAAGGAACGGCTATGTACAAGCAATGATAACAATCCTATGCTGGATCCTAGCTGTTTATATAGAAATATGCAAAGTACAATCATGAGATGGATCTAGAAAGGTATTATCTGACTTGGTCTTCGACTTCATGATGATGGCACTTAGATCTTGTGGTGCTGGAACGTAGTTACAGCTGTATGGCATGACTTGTTGCTCCGCTGTCGTGAAGATGCCCTTGTGTTTTCTTCTCTGCTGCTTTGCTGGTTGGAAATTCACGTGTGCTTTGGGAAATCCCGAAGCGCACATTTCAGGTTGGGATTTCCAACCTTGAATTTCACATTTCAGGTTGGGTTTTTGGCGAAAGTTACAACTTCGCTAGTGAGCGAACTTTCCTGTGGCGAGTTCGCCTTCGCCCTGTAACAGATCGGTTTTCCGCTCCGCTCGCCACGATGGGCGGCTTTCCGCCGCTGCTCGCGCTCGCCCTCACTCTCGGTCAGTCCACCCGCCGTGCCGCCCCGCGAATGCTGCTCTGTGCGCATGCCAGTGTGCTTTCGTCGGTCCTTTGTTTGTTTTGTGCCCACCGCCCACCATATCTCGTCTTCACACTCGCCTGCACTGGCAGTGTGTCCGCACTCGCGCGTCGCTCCTCACGCTCGAAAGCGGCATTCTGCCTCTCACGCTACCGAACTCGACAGGAGGATGCCCGGAATGCGGACCGACCCACACCAGCCAGCTCTCCGCCCTTCTCTGTTCCCCTTTCGTCCCTTCTCGCCCTCCGCTGCAGCGAGTGACGTCATCCGCGGGGCGTCCGGTCAAATCATGTTTCCAATGCCCGCGCTGCTGGCGCTGGTGGCGACGCGGATCACGGTCTCCCCGGCGAGCACCTTCGCCTCCAACTTCTCTGCGGCGCGCTGCACCAACCTACCGCGCACCGCTTACAGCGTCTCCGTGCAGTGGACGTCCGCTGCCGCGCCCAGTCTCCCCGCGTGCGCCAACATCACCTTCTGGAGCGGCGCGGGTTGCAGTGGCACCTCCTCGCTCTCCCTTAAGCCCGCAAGGTCAGCGTCGCGCCTGTGCCATGGGGTGGGGTAGGGTACAGTGCCGTCGAATTTGATTTCAATCACGTGTTGGCGTCGAACCAAAACTGGTTGCCTGGAATCGTATCATTAAACGGTATGCGATTTAAGCTTTAACAGGGCAGCGTGATTTCTTCCATGGTGGCTTACCCAAAAAAACATTTTCTCGCGTGCTTCCTATGCCTCCCCTCCCGTCTACAGCCTGACCACCAGCACCACCAATTCCAGTCTCCCCTATCCGTATCCAGTTTCGGCTCGCTGCGGCATCGGTACGCTCCTTGTCGCCCCTCCTCCAGTACACGCCCTGTCAGTAGAGTGCCTGTCGTTGCACAATAAACTTGGTGACTAAACGAGCGAGGAGCTAATCCCGGATGCCTCATCCGCGTGCCGTACGTCACGTGCCCTGCCAATGGCACCCCCACGCCAACCACGGACGAAAGGCGTGGCCTGCGCTGCAGGGTACGCCCAAGGCACGTATCTATAAGCGGTGCAGTAAGAGCTTCGTCCATTGCATGCAAAGGGTTGCAGCATTGCCACGGTATGACAGCTGCCCTCCCTCCGCCAGAGCAGCTTCACTCGCTGCCTCGTGCCTCACGAGCCACGAGTCATCCTCTCTCGAATGGACCTTGTATTAAATATAGCAAGCGTACAGATTAGATGCATACTCAAACACAACCAGTAGACCAGCATTCCACCTACCGACAAACTCCTAATCCTCCCCCCCCCCATTTCGACTTTAGTGGTCGAACGGGGACTCGGTCAGCTGGTGCAGCTGCCCCTCGCTCAGAGGGGTGAACGTTCCTTGCAAGACGAGTTCGTCTGCGGCCAAGGCCTCGAACGTCCTCCTCTCTCTCTTACCCTGTTGACTCCCTCACCTCCCCGTGCTGCTCTGCCCGCGCCCTCCCTGCATCGCGTCACATGGCATCACCCCGGTCGCATCAGCCGGAGACCCTGTGGACGCCAGTGCAGGGTGGCCCACAGAGTTAGACGCGAGGGTGGGGGTGACGACGGCGGTGAAAGTGGGCCGCTACAACTTCTCCTTCGACCCCTCCTCGCGCAGCACCCGCGTGCCCGACGACACGGCGCCCGCTGGCGTGAGCACGGTTGCGAGCGTGCAGTGGGGGAGCGCCAGCAGCTTGGCGGGAGGCGGGGCGAGTGGGCCGTGCTCCCGGGTGTCGTTCTACCCGGGCACCAGCTGCAACGGCGCTGTCATGCAGCACATCTACTCCTTCTCCAGGTCTGTGCGCGTGGGTGTGCAAGGCAGTGCCATGGATTTGCGTGGATGATGCGTAGAGGGCAAGGCAGGGCGCGGGTTGGGGATGGGAGGAGAGAAAAGATAAGGGATTAGGGAGAGTGGTGGGAGGGGGAGGATGGCATGCGTGGCATTGAATGGGACTATTGCTCAAAGCTGTGTTCTGCCTTCTGTTTTCTTCTTCTTCTTCTCCCCCCAAGCAGCAACACTGCGACCATCACATCATCCCAAGCACTCGCGTCTGTTGTCTGCGGATTCTGTACGCCCCTTGCTGCCTTTCGCCCCTTGCTGCCTTTCACCCCTTGCTGCCTTTCACCCCTTGCTGCCTTTCACCCCTTGCTGCCTTTCTCACCTTGCTGCCTTTCACCCCTTGCTGCCTTTCTCCCCTTGCTGACCTTGCTCCTCCCTCGCTCCAACCACTCCTTGAACATGAGCCCCTCCATGAACTTGGCATCTCTGGTGGTGAAGATGGTGTTGGCTATTGGGTCCCACATGAGCCACCCCTTGCTCCCTTGTGCAAGTCCCAAATGAATAGCCCACACCGCCGCCGCTTGAAGCTTGTCACGCTTCTCCTTAGGGATGTGCACGAGTCCCATGCACCCAAAGACTCGAAGCATATCCACCAGGGGCTTCTTGCCTCTCCACTTCTCCATAGGGACCCAATGCTGCCCTCCCACATGAGTCAATACTCGGTTCTTGATGACGGTGGCATGGCGAATAGCGAGGGGCCAGAACCGTAAGGGTAGACCCGAGTCTACCAACATCGTTCTCCCGCCCTCCAAGATGGTCCGGTTCGCTCTCTCTGCCACGCCATTGGATTGAGGGGTGTAGGCCGTGGTGAGCTGCTGCTTGATGCTATGCCGCTTCAGCCAGCTCCGGAACTCCGCTCCCAAGAACTCCCCACCACGGTCACTACATATCGCCTTCACCCGCTTGCCGCTCTCTCGCTCCACCATGGGCAGCCACTCTTCAATGATGACCCTTGCAGCATCACTCTTCTTTGCAAGTGGAAAGGACCAGGTGAGCCTTGTGTTGTCATCCACCATGGTCATAGAATACAGAGCCCCACCATCTCCCTTCACCTTCATGGGTCCCACGAGATCCACATGCACGAGCTCCACCGGGTCACTCGACTTCCCCTCCACCGAATGGAAGGGAAACCGTGAAAACTTGCTGGTCAAGCAAGTCTCACAAGATCCCACCTCCTTGGGCTCCCCCTTTATCCTCAGCCCCTGGACTCTTTCCTCCTTAAACAGCTGCTGCAACTGAGGTAGCGCCACGTGGCCAAAGCGACGGTGTGCGGTGAGCCAATCCGTCTCACCCGTGCTAGGAGTTACACTTGGAAGCGCAGCCCCTCCATGCCCAAGGAGCCCACCATCACTGTCATCACCACCCCCTCCATTGTCCACGTGGTTAACACGCCCTCCTCTCACATCTCCAGCAGCCAAGCGCGCAGCCGCCTCCTTCCATGGCAGCACCGGTATCTCCCACATGGACCGGTGCATGTCCTTGCCGCCTCGGAGGTCCCACAATACGCGCCCATCCAGAGTTGCCTTGAAAACCTTTGTGCCCAACATCTCCATCTTCATCCCTGCCTCACTTAGGGCCTTGGTAGAGAGGAGGTTGGCACACAATCCAGGAACAAGGAGAACACGCTTCAGCCCCACAAGCCTCCCATCCGCACCCATGAACATGGCTCTCCCCTCGCCACGCACGGGTACAACTTGGCCGGTGGCTGAAACGACGGTGGCTGCCTTTGATGGCCTAACTTCATCCAGTAGATCCTCTCGGTTGGTCATGGTCATGAAGGCTCCCGTGTCGATGACCCAATGGGAGGAGCGGTGAAGAGCAATCTTGCTGGCCGGCACAACCATGTCCTCGGGGCACGCCTCCCCTACATGGTAGAACATGCCGCCGTATCCGCCAGCACCTCCTTCGCCCTCCTCACTGCCCATGCCTTCTCCCATAGCTCCATGAACACCCTTGGAGCCCTCAATTGATGGCTGACCAGGCCTCCAACCGTCAGGTAGCTTGCGGCACTTGAACCATGGGTGCCCTTCCACATGGCAATACCAACACTTGCCGCCACACCGCTTGCCTCCCTTGTTGCCACGCTTCCCTCCCGAATGCTGCTCCCCTCCAGAGCCTTCCTTGGCCTTCCCTTTCTTGCTGCCACGCCCCTTGAAGCCCTTCATGCCATAGGCAGAGCCTCCACCTTCACCGGCAGCGGCGGTCAGCTCCTTCCTCCGAAACTCCTCTTGAAGAACTTGTGCGCGAATCCACTCAAGGGACCACGAGTCCTTCATCCCATTAAGGTTGACCACCAAGGGCCCCCACGACTCCAGCAGCAGGGAGAGAGCCTTGTAGCACTTGATTTTCTCAGGGTAGTCCACACCAGCAGCTGAGAGCTTCACATAGAGGTCCCGGAGTTGATCGAACGCTCCTTGTACGGCATCACCCTCGTTGATCTTCACCGCATGGAGTTGTCGCTCGAGCACCACCACCATTGCTTCGCTGCTGGGGGCATGGACATCCTTCAATATCCTCCATGCCTTAGGACCACACGCAGCTTCCTTGATGAGATGCTTGATGTGGTGCAGCTGGTTGGATGAGAGGCATTGGGAGAGAAGGAAGAATCCATCCTTGGACCGGCGATCCCATTCTTTGGTCGCTCCTTCGCTCGTAGGCCTCTTCAATTCTCCATCCATCACTTCAAGCAGCCCATAATGGTTGAAGAGGAGATCCATCCTGAAGCTCCATGATGCCCAATCATCCCCAGAGAACTTCTCCAGGTTGAATGCCTTCACATCATCCTTAGCTGATGTTGAAACTGAAGCCATTGGCGCAGATCCGCCTGCAACGCCTCTTCCCGCTTCCCCAGCGCCTCTCACGCCACCACTGCCACTGGGACCAGCTGGAGAAGAACCTTTAGCCTCCATATTTACCCACGAACAGAGTAGAACAGCTATGATACCACTTGTTATAGTCTAGAGTCCACTTAGGGGTCGCGGATGCCCATGAAACCGCCTAAGCAGAATCTGACGTCTTCAAACCGCCTCTGTTCAAAACGCCGTCACGATCAGCTCCAAAAACACACGAGGCTGAAACTTGAACAGCCGTTAGCCTTAGGTGTCTGCTTTCCAGCGGTATATTACTTGATATTATCAGAGGTGTGTGCACTACGCAGTGAACGAAAACGTAAGCTCAGCTGAAAAAACGTGTATTCTCATTGATGCAAGGAAGAGGTGAGTACAACATTGCCTAGGGGACTCATAAGGGGTTGGGTCATCCTGGGAACTCAGAGAAGGTTGAGTCCTAGGGGAGAAAGGCTAGAGAAGAATGGGAAACGTCCTAGCTAGGTCAGCAAAGCCAACCACACTTGGATGTTCAGAGCTGTACTCAAGGCTACCAATAGTGAGTCAAGCCAAAATGAGTCAGCTTGTCTTCCCACTTGCACCCTCTTGCAAGCTGCACACTTCTCAAAAGGAGGGTTGTAGAGTCCCACTTGACCACCTGTACTTCTTGTCTCATTCTCTGTCCCTGCACCATTGGCATGACAACAATGAAAGGGTGGCAAGGGAAATGCTGCCAACAGTGCACCATGACTACGGAACAGTGAATTTCGGCAGCTGTCACGCAATTCTCAGATGTTGGATCGTTCTGAAACTTGGTGACCACCTGCACAGCGGGGCAAAGGACTGCCAGACCGAATTTCAGACCAATCAGATCTCGGTAGACGAGTCAGAAGCCGAAATGGTGAACTCGGGTGTTACCAAAAAGGAGTAACACACACTTCCGGGATGCCATAAGTCTTGAAACATAAAATATTTTCATGCCTTGGTAACTGCTTCAAAAACTCTGAAACTTTGAGGGTTTGAAGAACACGTGTTGAACAACCTCCCCACAAAATTCCAGAAGCTGAGCAGGCTTGTAGGCCGAATGGGAGTGCGATGACCGTGCCACTGTAATGTGTTGGCACAACACCTTTCACCCCTTGCTGCCTTTCACCCCTTGCTGCCTTTCTCCCCTTGCTGCCTTTCACCCCTTGCTGCCTTTCACCCCTTGCTGCCTTTCGCCCCTTGCTGCCTTTCGCCCCTTGCTGCCTTTCACCCCTTGCTGCCTTTCACCCCTTGCTGCCTTTCTCCCCTTGCTTCCTTTCACCCCTTGCTGCCTTTCACCCCTTGCTGCCTTTCAACCCTTGCTGCCTTTCACCCCTTGCTGCCTTTCTCCCCTTGCTGCCTTTCAACCCTTGCTGCCTTTCACCCCTTGCTGCCTTTCACCCCTCGCTGCCTTTCACCCCTTGCTGCCTTTCTCCCCTTGCTGCCTTTCACCCCTTGTTGCCTTTCGCCCCTTGCTGCCTTTCGCCCCTTGCTGCCTTTCGCCCCTTGCTGCCTTTCACCCCTTGCTGCCTTTCACCCTTGCTGCCTTTCACCCTTGCTGCCTTTCACCCCTTGCTGCCTTTCACCCCTTGCTGCCTTTCACCCCTTGCTGCCTTTCACCCCTTGCTGCCTTTCACCCCTTGCTGCCTTTCACCCCTTGCTGCCTTTCACCCCTTGCTGCCTTTCGCCCCTTGCTGCCTTTCACCCCTTGCTGCCTTTCACCCCTTGGTGCATCGAACCTTTTTTACTTGGCCCAAGGGTTCTGAATCAGCGAGGTTTGGCAGTGAGAGAGTGAGTCCAATGAGCATGTGCTCGTCCCATGTGCAGCGTCCTCCACGGTGTGCAAGTACACCACATGCCCCGCCAACTCCGCGTGCTGGGAGACAAGCGACATCGACAGCAGGGCAGCCACTTGCCGCTGCAAGGAGGGCTATGCTGCCATCAACGGCACCTGCCAAGGTACCGTGCTGTGCTCGCGTGCACGGCTGTGGTTGCCTAGGTGCAAAAGGAATGTGCTTGCCAGGATAGTCATTGTGGGCCGATGTCGTGCTCGCATGATTCATTTGGATTTTCCAAAGCTGGCCCATTGTGGGGTTGTGGGCGCATGATTCCACTGGACGCTATCAGTATGTTCTAGTGACCGTTTCCCTCTTCTTCTGCACCAACTCCCTTCCACTGCAGACAAGTGCAATCTGTACTGTGTGGCCAACGCGAGTTGTGTGAGGGATGCGAGCATGGTCCCGGATTGTGTGTGCAACAAGGGCTTTCAATATGCTCCTGACAGCAACACCTGCGTTGGTAAGTTGCGTGTCATGTAACCGAGACTCCTCAGCACGTCAGTTTAACAAGTGCAATCTGTAACCAATGAATGCGTTCTTTCTTTCTATGCATTCCCCTTATGCATCCATCCCAAACACGCTATCCTTGCTTGCTTCCATGGCCCCTCTCTTCTATTACAGATAAGTGTACTTTTGTGAATCGTGGGCCTAACGGCAAGTGCATCAAGGATGCGAATGGAAATGCTACCTGTGCTTGCAACACTGGCTTCCAGATGCCTCTCAACAAGATCACTTGCGTTGGTGAGTTGCACGCACTGGCACGTGGAGCAAGCGAGTGAGCGGGTGATGGGCATGGGGAGCATGCATGCGTCCACTCTGCAAGCACTGCTACACTTCCCTGGTTCCTTCGCCCTACCTCGTGTTTCCTGTGCTCTTGCTGCATCTTGCAACCTCCAGCGAGTGATTCCGTTCTTAGCCCATGCTACGTGCCTCGTTTCTCACGTGCGATTATTTTCTCCTCCTACCGACTCCATTCCAATCCTGCTCGATCTCACCTCTAATCCGCATGCATTGCAGACAAGTGCGAGTTTGTGACGTGCAAGGCCAACTCAACGTGCGTCAAGGATGCAAACGGGAATACAACTTGCGAGTGCATCAAGGGTTTTGAGAGGCTTCCTGGCAACGACACTTGCGTTGGTGAGTTGCTGCACTTGCTCAGTTGGCCCAAGTGTCCATCTAACAAGAAAAAGGCGTGGTGGAAGTGGCATGTTACGCTGGCCTACAGACAAGAAGTGGGGGTAGTGGCATTGTGATTAAGGGGGGTTAACGGTATGATATAAAGCGTGAGAATCACATCACTGATCGCGTGCATGCTTGGGAGATTCGATCTGCCATCAGCAGCCATGACACTCACGATGCATCGCTACGTAATTCCATTGTTGTCAAACCTCACCATTTCCTTGTATGTGTGTCTATGTGCAGACAAGTGTGCTTCAGTGGATTGTGGGACCGGCGGCAAGTGCAGGACGAATGCAGACGGAAATCCGGAATGTACTTGCATCACCGGCTTCACGCAGAATTATGACGATTGCATCGGTGAGCTCACTTGACTGCCTTGCTCCACTCCTCTTGCTCCACTTCGCCGGTCATCCAACGGGGGACTACATCAAAAGCAAGTGGTGCAAGAAGCATGTCACAATCTCATCCAGCCAAGATGTGGGACAGCGACATTGTGAATTGACATATTGCGTACCTCTCATTCCATGTTTGTCATAACTCATGGTTGTCATGCTTCCATGCTTGTCAATACTCATCATTCCCCTCTATGTGTGTATCGTGTTCATCGTCATTCCTTTTTTATGTGTTTCCTACTTGTTGCAGACAACTGTGATTGGTTTGGTTATGACTGTTGGTCCGGCTCGTGCAAGAAGGACACCAAGGGGAATCCGTATTGTGACTGCGGCAAAGGCTACAGACAGACTGCTGACGGGCACTCTTGCATTGGTGGGTTGGAGGAGTGCAAGCGGTTGTGTGTTGCGTTCTCCACCTGCCCTTGGAGTTGCTAGGCTCTGAGCTGGAGTTTGTAGCTGAGCGGATTTCCCCTCCTGCCATTTCTTGATTCCGCCTCTCCTCTTGAACGATTGCAAGCAGAATCAACTTTGTTTCTAAGATGGAAACCTTTCTCTCGCCTTGGTTTTCTTTTCTGCAGACATTTGTGAATTAGTGGATTGTGGCGAAGGCACGTGCGTGAAGAGATATAATGAGGAGGGATTCGGACATGCCGAATGCGATTGCCCCGCGGGCTACCAAGTGGCTGGGAGTGGACGCTGCACTGGTGAGTTGAAAGGTCTCTCTTCGAGACTGGCCTCGAGGCCACGAGTTGGTGGATCCTGGAGCCTCCTCAGATTGGCTTCTCCTCAGCTGAGCTGCTATCATGTATGTTCCACCTGGGTTTCTGTCAGTGCATTCTCCAAATCGTTTCCTTCTCTTGCATCAACTCCATTCCACTGCAGACATATGCAATGTGGTATGTCCGGCCAGCCAAACGTGCAGGAGGAACGGGGACTACATCACGTATTGTACCCAATGGGGTGAGTTCCATACTACCTAGACTTGTACAGCATGTGAGCTCAAACCTCAGTTTCCACAACGATGAATGTGCCAAAGAGCTCTCTCTAAACTCGTCTCAGCTCAGCTTCACGCTCTGGCTTGGGCGCTGTCAAGTGTGAATGGAACCGCCGTTCGTGCCACGTACATGTGGTGGAAAGAGCTGGAGTGCATGGATGCATCTGCAACCACTGTCATGGTTCACGCAGCCTACCTCTTGTTTCATGTGCGCTTGTTGCAGCCTGTAGCAGTGAGGGTTGCAACCTCATGGTTGTCATCATTCCCTTTTCTTTTCTTTTTTTATATGTATTATTTTCTTTGCAGACTATTGTGATAGGGATTATTGTGGGTATGGCGGCACGTGCAGGATCGATAAAGTTAAGGATGCTGAGTACTGTCTCTGTGACCCCGGCTACAAGTTGTCTGCCGACCAGCTCTCTTGCATTGGTGGGTTGGAAAAGTGCAAGGGGTTGTGTGTTGTGTTCCCAACCTGTCCTTGGGATTTTCTTGGGTTTGAGTCTGGAGCTATTAGCAGATATCTCTTGCCACTTCAGTGTTTTAGCCTCCACTCAACCTTGGAGGATTGCATGCATACCATACTCAATATTGCTTCTAAGGTGAAATATCTGTCTTTTTGCCTTGGCTTTCTTTTCTGCAGAAGCATGATCGGTGGATTGTGGGCCCAACGGCAAGTGCGTGAAGGAGAAGAACAAAAATCCAACTTGCGATTGCATCGAGGGCTTCCTGCTTCCTAACAGATTGTTTTGCGTCGGTGTGTAGAAGGTTTCGTTGACCTGACGCTTGGAGTGTCAGCACTTTGTCAAGAGCCTCGTCGGTACAAGTTGTAGGATGCTCTGATTGCCCTTGCTATGGTCCGGCTTTCCAGGACTGCCGTTGTTTTGTATTGTGGTAAGTGTAATTTATCGTAAGCAATTTCATGAAAGGTGTGTTTTCAATAGGAGTGTGCGCAATTCAGACTTCCACTGTTTTCCCCCTGAGTGCACAGGGTGAAATCAAAAATACGGTACCTCGAAACATTATTTCAGCAACTTCAATATCAGCAAGCAGCCAAAGGTTGCCATGGGACACATACGGTAGGTACACAGTGTGATCAGCGTGTTTTAGGCTGATAAATGAGGGCCTGGGGGTGGGCTTGTAATCGAGGATTTTTATAAGCGCCGGCGCTAATATAATGACATGGGGTTGTGTCGTGTGTTGTGTTCTCAACCTGTTCTTGGGAGTGCAAAGGGTTGTATTGTGTTCTCAAAGTAGAAATGCAACGGAACGATGAGATTAGGAATGTGGGTGATACAAATAGCAAATCCTAGCTGAGTTGTACTCACTAAGGAGCACCTCACTACAGCCTATCACAAATATCAACATTTGACACACCCCCATAGGCTAAGTGAGGGGCATCAAAGCAAGCAGGATGAACAAACGGTCACATGACTAGTCAATGCAAGAAGCAAAGCAAGCTCAGGGTGGATCTCAAGGACACCACAAGCAAGCCGCCACAAGCAAGCGGCCACAAGGCCAGTTCAAGAGTTCACTAGGACATATAATAGCAAAGCACAACAAGCAGAGCAAGCAACAAGACTACAGCAACCGAGGACCTGCCTCAACAAGCCCTAACTGCACACAGAATCGGTGGTGATCACCAGGCGCCAAGGCCTTGGTGAAGAGGTCAGCAGTGTTGGCCTCTGAGGCCACAAAGTCCAGGCACACCTGGCCGCGTCGCTGTAGCTCACGAAGGAGGAAGTACCGAACGTCGATGTGCTTCACCCTGGTCTCCGGTCGAGGCTCGCGACACAAGAGAATCATGGCCTTGTTGTCAGCGAACAAGGTCGGAGCAGTGCGAGGTCGCTCATCAAGGTCAGCGAGCAAGAAGGTCAACCAGCGAAGTTCCTGAGCAGCCAGAGCACCGGCGTAGATCTCTGCCTCTGCACTGGACGAAGCCACCGACGACGACCGTGTGGACCTCCACGATACAGCCCCAGCTCCCAGATGGAAACAGTAACCCTGGGTCGAGCGCTGAGTCTCCACGTCGTCAGCGTAAGAAGAGTCACAGAGGCCAGTCAGCCCAACTGGCCGAGTCCCTCCAAGCACAAGCCCCATGCCTGATGTAGTCGCCAGGTACTTCGCCACCCTCACGGCAGCCGTCCATTGAACAGGACGGTGCCTCTCAGGTCCAACAAAGCGAGAGAGGACGCTAAGATGGTAGGCGAGGTCCGGGCGAGTACAGGTCATCAGGTACATGAGGCAGCCAACAAGCTCTAGATAGGGACCACTACGCTCAAAGGGCTCATCGGGGAAGGGGCCGGTGAGTCTGTGGTCTATAGCTAGAGGAGTGGGCTGTGTGGTAGAGAACCGAAACCCGAACCGCTGAAGGACCTGCTGCACCATGTGTGACTAAGTCAACGTGATGGTGCGATTGGCTCTGTCCTTGGTGATCTGCAGGCCAAGGTAGCGCTGCAGTTCACCAAGGTCAGTGCACGTGTGTCTGCAGTTCGGACTTCACCTCAGCCAGAGCTGCCCTGTCTGCTGTAGCAAAGACCAAGTCGTCGTTGTAGACGAGTATAAAGAAAGGAGTGGAGCCGGCACGAACAAACAGTGACGGGTCAGCGGAGGAAGGGCGAAACCCTAGGTCACGAAGCGTGGAGCGAAGAGTGTCGTGCCACTCACGCGGCGACTGGTGGAGACCGTAGACTGGTCGCCTCAGGCTCCACTGGGTCCCAGGAGGGAAAGTACCAGCGAAACCGGGAGGACGGCGCAGCCAGATCTCCTTGTGCAGTCGTCCCTGGAGAAAGGCAGTGGAGAAGTCGAGGGAGTGGAGCTCGTAGTCACGCTGTGCTGCTATGTGTAGTAACACCCGAAATGTAGTCATCTTCGGGGTCGGAGCGAAGGTCTGAAAGAAGTCAACTCCCTCGCGCTGACTGAAGCCTCTCGCCACATAGCGCGCCTTGAATACCGGGGGTGATCCACGCGGCCGCTTCACCTTGAAGAGCCACATGCCATCGACTACGTTCGCCCGGGGAGAGGGAATTGCGTCGACGTACGTGCCTGCGGATCTCCAAGACGCCAACTCTGAGTCCATGGCCGCCGTCCACTGAGAGGCCCACAGCCCTGACACTGCCTCACGGTACGTACGAGGAGTCGGTATGTCAAGGGCGTCGGGGTCTCCCTCAGGGTAAAGCAGCATGGCACAGAGAGTGGGAGAAGCGGCAGCCAGGTACTCCAGCTCAGAGTGCCTGTCCTCTAGGACCTCACAGCCAAGGGAAAACTCACCCCCGACGGACAGAGGACGGATAGGCGGAGCGGGCACCACACGAGTGCTGTAGTCAAGGCGGCTGGCGGCGGCAAAGTCAGCGACAGCGGCAGTGAGAGCCGAGACCGACGACGGAGAGAAACGAGGGTCGGTGACACCAGTGGCTAGAACAAGGGAGACAACAGGGCGAACATCACGGTAGTAGTCGGAGATAGGAGTAGGGGAGAAAGGAAGAGAAGACGGAGGAGGAGACGGGAGAACTGACACCGGAGGAGGAGAACGACAAAGAGAAGTACAAAGGGGGGCAGTGTGGAGGTCGGTAACGGGGGACGAGGGACGAGCACTCGGAGGACAAGGACGGGAACGGTAGTGACGAATAACAGGAGGAGGAGACTGCGGTGGAGGGGAAGACCAAACCGCAGGACGGTCGTCAGGAGGAGGAAACGTAGGACCAAACGCAGGGGGAGATTGAGAGCAGACAGGAGGAGAGGAGGGAAGACCAAGGGCCCGGAGGCCACTCACGGGCGGGAACAACTGCCGCTCAAAAGGGAGCTGCTGCGGCTGCGGTGGCGGCGGCGGCTGCTGCTGCTTCTGTGGCTGCGGTGGCTACTGCTGCTGCTGCTGCTACTGCCGCCGCTGCTGCTGCTCCAGCAGGTCCAACTGCCGCAACTCCTGCCGCTCCTGCTCCAACCGCTCCTCCTCCTCGCGCGCACGCCAGCAGGTAACGCGTGTCGTGGCGGTGGGGAGGCGGAGTGCTCTCTGCAGACGTAGTGCCCCCAGCTCCAGTCTCCTCAGAACCAGCACTCCCAGTACCAGTGTCCCTAGAGGGGGTACCACCAGGGTCAGGGTCCCCAGCTCCAGCGCCCCCTGTCCTAGCACCCCCAGTGCCAGGACCTCCAACTCCAGCACCCCCAGAACTAGCACCTCCAGTGCCAGCACCTCCAGCTCCAGCACCCCCAGAACGAGCACCTCTAGTGCCAGCACGTCCAGCTCCAGCGCCCCCAGAACTAGCACCTCTAGTGCCAGGACCTCCAGCTCCAGCACCCTCATGGCTAGCGCCACCTGCGCCTTCACCTCCAACTCCAGCACCCCTCGAACGAGCACCCCCAGACCGAGTACCGCCAGTGGCTGCACCTCCTGCTCCAACAACAACCAAGTCCACAGTAACCTGTCGTGGAAGTACCGAAGGTTGCTGAGGGGACTGCGAGGAGGACTGCAGGGAGGGAGACGCTACCTGACGCACAACCGAGGGTAGAGGGGTAGCGTGAGACACACCTGACGGGGCAAGACCAGGGGGGGGTGGGAGTACCGGAGGAGCGGGAGCAGGGGGAGGAGAGGGTGAGAGGAAAAGGGGGGGAGGGGGAACCGGGAGACCTCGACAGGGATACCGGGTGTGCTAGGACATAGACTCGTCGAACCGGACATCACGGGAGTCTAGGAACTGGTGGAGGGGCGGGTGGTAAAAGGACCAGTCGGCCGAGGCTACCGGGAAACCAAGGAGGACACAGGGGACGGCGCGAGCCGAGAGCTTGTCTGCAGAGGTGTCGCGGACAAGCGCAAGGCAGCCCCAGACACAAAAGGCTGACCCAACACCAGGGGATCCGGTCCAAAGAATGGTCGGTGAAGCCTCTGGCTGTGAGACGCGCGGCTGGAGGTTGAGCTGGTGAGCGGCGTAGCGAACCGCGTAGGGCCACGGAAAATGGGGCGCACGGGCATGAATCATGGACGTGCTGGCGATGTCCATGACCAAGCCAATGCGGCGCTCAGTAACCCCATTCTGCAGTGGGGACTCCACAGCGTTTAGGACTGTACGATGCCCTGCTCGCCGCAGAATCCGGCAAGAATACCTGAGCGAAACTCACCCCCACGGTTAGAGTGGAGACAGGAGACACGACGGCCACGAGTGCCCTCAGTGGCTAGAAGCCACCGGATCAGCGTAGAAGTCACCTCAGACTTCTTCGCGAGAGGAAACACCGTGGTGTACCTGGAGAAGTCGTCGACAACCACCAGAAAGTAGCACTCCCTCTCAGGTCCCTGCGTAGATGCAGGGCCCCAGACATCCAAGTGGAGCGTTTGGAAGGGAGCAGTGGCCGGACGAAGGGAGGAGGAGTGCGAAGTGGCACGAAGACGGCCGGCGACGCAAGGAGTGCACGGGGGTGCAGGCGAGGGAGGGAGCGACGGG